TGTTGCGGCGCAAATAAAATACGGTGTTTAGCAGTTTTAATTGAATTATGCTTGCATAGACAATAGTACTATGGGTGAAAGTTTGGTTATCTTCTTGTTGTGATATATTCACAGTTGATTGAATATTGGTTTGCCTTTGAACAGCTTTTTGTAAGTTTTGAATAATTTTACATACAGCGGTTTTTAAACATTGGAAAGGTTAAAAGAGGGGAGTTTTGGTTCTTTTCCGTTAATTCACTATCAATACTTTTTCTATCACGATTCCGATATTTTTTAACAGTTAGCCGAGTCTATGAATATATAAATTAAAAAATTAAACCATTCTAAACTAACCTAACCAACCAAACTTATTATAAAAAAGTCTGGTTGTGAATAAAAGGAATTTAATTTTAAAAGTAGGACCGAAATGGTTCATAGAAGCTAATGTTAAGAATTCAGAAAAATCACTAATATTGTGCTTACTAATTCATCCCAACTATCTGTTCACATCCCAAACCAAATTTGTCATGACTTAAAATTACCCAAGTGTATTTTCACAGGCTGTGAATGTTGTCACAAGTACGGCTTCACATATTTCGCAGAGTCCCTCATGCCATTTAGGCTGATGACACGAGTTTGACGGAAGGACAATTTAAATACGAATTCCCCCGCGTGGGCTCAGCCCACTCAGAAACGAGTGGCTAACAACATCGTGATGTATGAAGATCGGCATTGTTCGGCCCACTCCGCCCCCGGCTACACCGACGGAGACGCCCGAAGGTGGTCGAAGTCCAGTTTTGGTCCTTCACGCCAGATACGTCAACATTTTTATGCAAATAGTGTTATCGTGCTCACCAAAATGTAATCTATAACTTGTGTTCCTTGTACTGCCCTCCTTAAATCGTAACATTGAAGAATATACAGGGTGAATAAAAAGTCAAGACCCCCCCCCTCTCATATTTTTCCAAGTAAATATACAGAGATATCCTTTTGGTGGTCGAGCAATTTTAGCAGGAAGTTTCATTTTATCATTTTGAAATTTTTGAGTGTCCCCCCAAAAGGGGGGATTTGGGGGGCAACTCAATTTTTTTAAATGTAAACCCCCTTCAAGTGACACCTCATTTTGAAGTGTTTACAAAAACTTAAAGAATGGTGAAAACTAGAGGTCGCTATCTCTTCTCTATCCAAAATGGTAGCCCGTCAAATGTTGTGGAAAATCAATGGTAAAATTGTTAATATTGGCTGCCATTTTGGATAGAGAAGAGATAGCGAGCTCTGGTTTTCACCATTCTTTAAGTTTTTGTAAACATTTCAAAATGAGGTGTCACTTGATAGGGGTTTCTATTGAAACATTTTTAGTTGTCCCCCGAATCCCCCCTTTTGGGGGACACTCAAACATTTTAAATGTAAACCCCCTTCAAGTGACGCCTCATTTTGAAGTGTTTACAAAAACTTAAAGAATGGTGAAAACCAGAGCTCGCTATCTCTTCTCTATCCAAAATGGCAGCCAATATTAACAATTTTACCATTGATTTTCCACAACATTTGACGGGCTACCATTTTAGATAGAGAAGAGATAGCGACCTCTAGTTTTCACCATTCTTTACGTTTTTGTAAACACTTCAAAATGAGGTGTCACTTGATAGGGGTTTCTATTGAAACATTTTTAGTTGTCCCCCGAATCCCCCCTTTCGGGGGACACTCAAACATTTTAAATGTAAACCCCCTTCAAGTGACGCCTCATTTTGAAGTGTTTACAAAAACTTAAAGAATGGTGAAAACCAGAGCTCGCTATCTCTTCTCTATCCAAAATGGCAGCCAATATTGACAATTTTACCATTGATTTTCCACAACATTTGACGGGCTACCATTTTAGATAAAGAGATAGCGACCTCTAGTTTTCCACATTCTTTACGTTTTTGTAAACACTTCAAAATGAGGTGTCACTTGAAGGGGGTTTACATTTAAAAAAATTGAGTTGCCCCCCAAATCCCCCCTTTTGGGGGGACACTCAAAAATTTCAAAATGATAAAATGAAACTTCCTGCTAAAATTGCTCGACCACCAAAAGGATATCTCTGTATATTTACTTGGAAAAATATGAGAGGGGGGGGTCTTGACTTTTTATTCACCCTGTACTAAGGCTGACCAATGGAATACGAGTTGGTGATGTGCAGTAATACATACATGAGGTTATTAGGATTTAATAACGCTGATAAGCTGGAAATTGAAAATGGGTTTAGGAACATGCGATAAAACTTTGTTTATTTGATATTTCCAACCACTCATAAAACATGTCTGCTTGTATCAACTTTGGAAGGCCAATTTATTTTAGAACAGTCAAAACTTTAGCCGAACGGTAAGGTTTTTTCAGCCTGCATTTTCCACTAAGAATTTCAGAAGTAACCCACATCACAATGATAGTTAATTGATCAAAGTTTTTTGTCTCTATCAGGGGAAATGTTGTTTTAAAAATAACAATCACACACAACGATGATAGCATTATCTTGCCAAATAATTTATTCAGCTTCCTCTGTGAAATTGGATCTTTAAAACTTCATCAAAAAAAATATTAAGGAATAATCATCAGTGTGTTCATAAAATAAACTGCCGGATTGGAGAAGCTGGGTATCAAAGAGAAGAAAAATCTATGAGAAGCAATCTTTTACGGATATTATTATCGGCGGAACTGATAGCACTGATGATTTGGCTGTGAAATGGAATAGCGTAGGAATGAATATCAAAATTCAATAGAACAGGATAACGAGCATTCAGCTCCTTATCCCATTTTCCATTACTTAACCGACTAGAAAATCATTCATCTCTTCTTCAATGAACGAGCTACCCAAGATTTACTTGAAAATCAGACTTAAAGGGAGCCAAATCCGATTTATATCGTCCAGTTGACGACGATCCCTTCCGGGTTTTTTTGTGAAACCTCAAACCACAACCATAATGTATTACAGAGTGTAAACTATTATTAAAGTTCAATTATTTACAAAGATAAATTAGGAATACTTTATCAATAAAATTATGGTTTTATTTACAATGTTTCTACAGTCGACAAGGCTTGAACCTAGGAGATTTAAAATTGTATTAACAGTAACGTATACCATGAAATAACTGAATAGATCACAACATAAAACAGCAAATAATTATAAACTGAAGTGGTTAACATAGCGACAGCCAAGTGTAAATGAAGGTAATTATAACAGTCGGAGGGGAGTGTGTTGACTTTGATTATTATGGAAATATAAGGGTTGAAGTGCCAAGGGGCGAACTCGCAGTTAGAAATGTTATGCCATCATTATGCGTTGGTTAGACTTACTTAAAATCTTACAACCTTTTCAAAGTAAATTTACTTTATGGTAGATTTTAATTCAATGTACACATGTTTAAAACTTAAATACTGTACTGTTATTGTATTTTCATATAAAATATTTTGATATGAGTGGTGTTTTCAGGATTTAAATAACTATACGAGTGAAGAGTGTGTCTCTCTATTATGAAAGTTTTACAGAACCAAATTACTTGAACTTTGAGTTTTTATTTTCTTGGTTTTAGTTTTCACCTGAGTAGTCTTTAATATAATTTTATACTTGAGCAAAATGGTATTTTAAAAAATTTTAATTTACATATTTTTTGTTATTACTACCTACCTAAACATACTTTGGGCTAATTGCTGTTTTATATTAACCTATAGTCCTACCACTCAGGATTTACCAGTTTCAAAGATAGTGTTTGGGGAAGTATATATCGATGGGTCTCTATGGTAACAAATGGACACAATGTTTATTATTTTTGTCATAATGTTTTCTATAAATACAATGCTATCGTGCAGTTTATTCAACAATAAATACAATAAAATAATTATTTGTTTAAACTCAGTAAGTATTTTTATCTCTATATTTAAAATATATTTTAGAACCTACATTAACCTATATTACGTTTTCCGTTGGATACTATAAAAGTTTTTTTTTAAATACGGTTTAGCTTGGTAAAAAAAGATTGTTATAGGTATATATGATAGTTGTAATATGATAATTATAGATAATAAAATATGAATGCTGATTCCGTTTAGAAGCAGAGGCAAAGCTATTCAATATATACAAGATTATGCAACATTAAGATAAATATTAATATTGAGATTATGCACCGTGTCTAAATTTTATATAATTTATATGTATACATATCTACTCTACACAAATATATATTACTTTAGCGGACTAAGTTCTGTTTCGTTTACCAACAAATTGTAAATTTGTAAAAATGTACAAACATAATTAATTAATTAAAATAATATGTTATATAGATTTTTTCTTAATATATTTACCATATAATTTACACTACTTCGCTTTCAATATGAAAAATTGTATTCACTAAAAAAGCTAAAGTGATTCGATTTAAAAATCAACAAGAGCATCAACTGATTTTACTCTGGCAACGTACTAATAATACTTAGATCATGCTAATGTTAATTATATAATGTTTGCAATAATTAATTGTACTTGTCAAAAAATATTCTCGTGCAAACGTACTATGTAGCTAAACAACCTTAAAAATTGCACAAACCACTTTATCTCGAGATTATGGTACGTTATTTGTATTCACTTATTCACAAAAGTAAGAGTCTAAGTTAATCTTATCTCATCTCAACAATATCTGATAATGTTTACAACTCCACGTATCCTCGTGTTGTAAGTTTACAGTAAAGCTCTCAAGTGAATGTTTCACATATTCACAGGAATATAATGTTTGTGTTGTAAACTATTTCACTCTCTGGAACGTTCTACTATTTGTTTGAATATGTTTTCACTAGAATATAGTAGTTTTTGTACCATATTGCACATTTCACTTAACAGTAAGTGTTTCACTAAACAGTAAGTGTTATAATTATTTAGGTGTGTAGACGTGCACAATCGACAACTGTGATAAGCAATACGCCAAATATTGTTCACAGTACGTAAGTTCAATTCATTACAGTTGTACAGTATTAAATCATTGCAACGGTGCAACAGAGAGTCACTCGTCCAAAGTTTCCCATAAAAGCTTTTTCACCTCTTCATTGGGAATCACGTATCTCCTAGCATCACTTACAGCAGAAACTACTGAAGGATCATAAGATAAGAAGCCTCTTTCAAACAGCAAAGAAAATAAAAGAGTTGAGTACATCAAGTGCCGTTTTCCATTCGGTTCGTTCACAAGATCTCGAAGGACTTTGAAATTTTCAAACGAAAATACTTTTTTCAGCTCCATGACAGTCGGAAGGCCTTTCAACATCCTCTCCAACTTTTGATGCACGTCGGGAATCTTCAGAAGCATTTGTAGGTTTGGAATTCTACTTCTTCTGGCCCAAATGTGTTCAAACTTCTGTCGGTCTAAGTAGTTCAGAAGAGCCCAAGGGTTGTGAACTGTCACATTATCCAAGCTCTCATAGCCACCGTAATGTTTGTGAACTGATTCCAACAACTCATCGTCTACCTCTATGGCGTACCGTCCGACAAGATCAAAAACTTCGCTGTCAACAAAACCGAAGAAAGGAACAAATCTGTGTTGGTTCAGAAACTCATACCTCTCAATGACTCTCGCGTTCGACACATGAGGCTCTTCCACTTGTGAAACTCCTGTCAGAATGAACGTGTCTACGTAGTAATCGTCCTTGGGAATGTGGAAGAACGCTTGGACTACGTTGATGACGTAGTTGAACGCGTCTTGAGCCACCCCGGTATGAGTCACACAGTAGAAGATAGGTGAGTCATAGTGATCTATCAGGACAATCACTCTAGTTCTGTCAAAGTGCTTGAAGAGGTACTTGGATAGCTTCTCCAGCCCTGGTATCAGAGTTCCCATATCTTCAAGTTTGTACTCATCAGAGGACCACAGTCTAATAAATTCTTTTTCATCGTCAAAGAGTTTTTCACTGTTCTTCAAATAAGAATGTTCTGATATTGCTTCGTGGAGAACTTCCTTGATGAAATCTTGACTTTCGTTGAAGCTTGTAAAGCCAACAACGTTTTTGAAATCCAATTGTATTACAGGATATTTACCAAAATGATTATCCATTGCATCTCTGTGATTGATGATTTTCTTTTGCTGAAAGAGTTTATAATTTGGCGTGTCTTTGATTGGTTTACTTCCATCTTTCATCGACGTCACTTTGTTCCCATTCTTGTCCACTTCTATTTGGAAAAATGCTTTCAACATTTGCAAATTAGATGACTTACCAAAGCCCCGTGGGGCTGTTAAGACTATTTTGTTACCTCGGTCTTCGAGAATTTCCTTTATGAACAGAGTTTTGTCTACGAATGTTGGCTCCCTGACAAGATAAGTAAAATCTGAGTTGGTAATGGATTTACCGGCTAAACAAACTTGGTAAACTATAAAGTAAAGTCTGAAGACCACGAAGAAACCCGATGGAGTGATGTCTACCATATTGTAAAATAAATTTTAAAATCTGTTTAAAGTGGTGAGACTAAGAACTGTTATGAAAGAGTGAAAAGTATAGAGGACAAGACTAAGCTTATCTAATCACTGAATGTCCATTAAAATGTAATATGTAATCAATATGAGTATAGAATAACTTTGTGACTATCAACAATATTGTTAACCGCATTCTAAGCTTATTTGTTAATTAAAAGTAAATTGGAATGAAGCATAATATTATTTGATAATGTTTGGATTTTTTAAGTGAACAATTAACCTATTGTTCGCATGCAAAATACTAATGATTCCAATTTCAATTTCAATTCCAATCATTGGTTTTTTGTGTAGTAATAATCTTACGTTATTAAATAATCAACTGTTTATAGCCATTGTATTAATAGGTTAACTATTAAATAAAATTTAAGTTTTAACTTAAAACGTAACCGGACACGATACTCACGTCAAACTAGACTTGATTACTTTTTTTAATGCTAGGTTAAATCTATCTATATCTATCTATCTATCTATCTATACTATTATAAAGAAGAGGTGGTGTCTGTGTGTGTGTTTGTATGAGCTAATCTCAAAAACTACTGGTCGGATCGAGCTGAAATTTGGCATGATGATAGCTCACATTCCCGATTAACATATAGGCATATTTTTATCCCAAAAAATCCTTCGGGGCTCCGCCCCAGTGGCTCTGGAGTTTCCCATGTTAACCTTATGAGAAATGGAATTAATGAATCTTAACAGCTGTTTCAATTAAACAAGTTGGTTCTGTTCTATGATGTTCAATAGCATTAAAAGTTACAAGGATTACCAACAGGGTTCAGCACTAGCACTATTATTTCTTTTACATTTATGACAACAGCAAAAGGTGAGTGAGCGTAGCGAACGAACTTCAACCTGGAGGCGAGTGAGCGTAGCGAACGAGCTAACCTGAAGGCAAGTGAGCGTAGCGAACGAGCTAACCTGAAGGAAAGTGAGCGCAGCGAACGAGCTCCAACCTAAAGGTGAGTGAGCGTAGCGAACGAACTTCAAAAAGAACCGAAATTTCTTAAACCATGTCCTCACTCATAACTGCTATAAGCATTTGATACTTATATGCCAACCCCGTACGAAGGACGGGTACTCTGCTAGTACTATTATAAAGAAGAGGTGGTGTCTGTGTGTGTGTTTGTATGAGCTAATCTCAAAAACTACTGGTCGGATCGGGCTGAAATTTGGCATGATGATAGCTCACATTCCTGATTAACATATAGGCATATTTTTATCCTAAAAAATCCTTCGGGGCTCCGCCCCAGTGGCTCTGGAGTTTCCCATGTTAACCTTATGAGAAATGGAATTAATGAATCTTAACAGCTGTTTCAATTAAACAAGTTGGTTATGTTCTATGATGTTCAATAGCATTAAAAGTTACAAGGATTACCAACAGGGTGCAGCACTAGCACTATTATTTCTTTTACATTTATGACAACAGCAAAAGGTGAGTGAGCGTAGCGAACGAACTTCAACCTGGAGGCGAGTGAGCGTAGCGAACGAGCTAACCTGAAGGCAAGTGAGCGTAGCGAACGAGCTAACCTGAAGGAAAGTGAGCGCAGCGAACGAGCTCCAACCTAAAGGTGAGTGAGCGTAGCGAACGAACTTCAAAAAGAACCGAAATTTCTTAAACCATGTCCTCACTCATAACTGCTATAAGCATTTGATACTTATATGCCAACCCCGTACGAAGGACGGGTACTCTGCTAGTACTATTATAAAGAAGAGGTGGTGTCTGTGTGTGTGTTTGTATGAGCTAATCTCAAAAACTACTGGTCGGATCGGGCTGAAATTTGGCATGATGATAGCTCACATTCCCGATTAACATATAGGCATATTTTTATCCCAAAAAATCCTTCGGGGCTCCGCCCCAGTGGCTCTGGAGTTTCCCATGTTAACCTTATGAGAAATGGAATTAATGAATCTTAACAGCTGTTTCAATTAAACAAGTTGGTTCTGTTCTATGATGTTCAATAGCATTAAAAGTTACAAGGATTACCAACAGGGTTCAGCACTAGCACTATTATTTCTTTTACATTTATGACAACAGCAAAAGGTGAGTGAGCGTAGCGAACGAACTTCAACCTGGAGGCGAGTGAGCGTAGCGAACGAGCTAACCTGAAGGCAAGTGAGCGTAGCGAACGAGCTAACCTGAAGGAAAGTGAGCGCAGCGAACGAGCTCCAACCTAAAGGTGAGTGAGCGTAGCGAACAAACTTCAAAAAGAACCGAAATTTCTTAAACCATGTCCTCACTCATAACTGCTATAAGCATTTGATACTTATATGCCAACCCCGTACGAAGGACGGGTACTCTGCTAGTATGGGATAAAATAATGAAGTGTTAAAGTTGGTATGGTTTTCAAAGCGTCGTGTATGGTGTATGGTGTAGGTCTATATTATGATTAACCATTATTACAGAGGCAGAGCCAGATAATACATAATTAATGACTAACGCCACAGGCCTAGATTATACAACACCAAGCTTCATGTTAATAACCTTTCTGTTGATTGTCACGTATAAAATAACAGTCGATGCGTTTATCTGGTTCATTCGAAAACACCAGGTTTACTCTTCGATGGTAATGCGAACCAAACATTCACACAAAAAGGTATAAGCACTCATTTGTTATATAAAACAACTCATTTTACCGATTACAAACAAATTGGTTTCAATTTCTATCCACATCCAGTTGAAGCTATTTACTTTCTGTAATACTATTGTAATATATCGAAGGTCTACTTAATAATGACTAGTGTACCTGTTGCTCGAATTCGAGCAATTGTGAAGCATTACAGGCGTTATTTTAAAACGAATAACGGTCATAATTTCCGATGACTTAATAAAAGTCGACTCAAAGATTATGGAAATACTCACGATGTACACAACAGTTAGATATAATCAAAACGGTTGGTAAATATTTTATCTTTTTTCAAAAGCTGATCTTGTTTTTTAGAGTTTTCTGACACGATGCAGAAGAAAATTGAGTTTAAAATAAGAAAAAAAAACATTGCAATTACTTCATTTTGACAAATTCAGTAAATCACAATTTAAATATTAACAGCTGTTTCATTAAAAAGAAGTGTGAAATTATACATATCTTCATAATGTAAACAAATCTGCTGATGGGGCTTTAAAGGCCCCTGGGGCAGAGCCCCAAAGGAATTTACCTCGTTTCTCTTTTGATGGCTCATCTACAGACCAAGCCCTTTCTTTAGACACCTCTATCGAGTTTCTACGCCCAGCCGTTCTCTCAAATTAGCTATCACAAAGAAAAACAGTTACAAATTAGTATATAGATAGTACAATATACATAAAAAAAAGTTGCACTCAATTTAAAGAGACCAGAATTTATTGAAATTTAGTCATCGTTACACTATAGTCCGTTAATTTTTTTAGCTCAATGTATACATCAGCGGATCAGCTGTTGGATCTAGTAGTTTCAAAGTTATGGTGAGGTGGAGGTGGGCAACACAATAGTATATTTCATCACTAGGGCCTAAAGTGACTATTTTTGACCCGAGGTCTAGTTTTATGATCGAGGGTTAAAATTTACTTTTTGCTCGTGTGTTGAACTATATTTTTCGTCATATTCGATCATTAATTAACAATCAAAGCAGGAATACGAAATAATTTTTATGTAAAGATAACCTCTCAAAATGACTTCCAGCTTTTTTTCAAATTCTTCCAATGAAAATAAGCAACTGTTTAATAAGTGATTCTATAATTTCGTCCATTACGATTGTGTTACAGTACAAACAATATACCATCGATATGTTGATCAATCGACGACAATAGGCTAAAACCTTACCTAATAACTCAATCGATAAATAATTTCGATCTATACGATTACCTCAATCGAGATTTACAACGCTGTTTACAACAGATTTTTACTCCCTAGAGACTAAAAATTATATTTACTCCCTAGAGACTAAAATTATTTTTAACCGACTTCCCCACTACCAACAAAAGGAGGAGGTTCTCAATTTGTCTGTGGTGATGTTTTTTTTTTCTATGTATGTTCACCAATTTCTCTGTGATTCTTTTACCGATCAGTGTGGTTCCACCACCAAAATAACCAGGAGAGTTTCTATTTGGTACCTTATATATTATGTTTAAGTAAAAAATTTGTTTCGGTGAAAAATTCTGAAAACCTTAAATATTCAACATTTATTTTGTTTACATTTGTGCAGATTGTTTACATTTGTGCAGATAAGGCAATAAATAATAATAACATTCCTACAGCTGTTAGTTGAAACCATTTAAATGAAGCTACAGACAATTCTTCATGAAACAGTTGCTTCATATTGATCAATAAACTATTTCTTGCCATGGAGCCTAAATGAACTACATTGAGAAAAATGCATTTTGTTTTGGTTACTATAAAAATGTATTTTAACGTTTGACCTGATTTGTGTATACAGTAATTCTGTTTTTAGTATTGAATATTCTGACTTACAAAAACATATATGTTTCAGTGAATAGCTGTATGATATTGACAAATAAAGGTGTATTGTGAAAACCAAAGCATCCGTAAAACAGGTCTAAATATAAATTAAATGCAATTATTCCTTACACGACCTAAGAAGTGTGACAGTGCATAATCGTCAATTGTCTTAAAAGTGTTAAATATTTTATTTACCAAACATGCATTTGCAGATGTGGAATGTTTATTGATATTCTCTACCCAGTTACTATATCATATCAATACTATTATGCCTGCTTTGGAAAGACCTAGAGGAAGATGATTTGCAATTTCGACTAGGCTATATCTTGATCAAACAAAACCACCTACATGGCTTGCACCACTTTTAGCTGAACCAATCTTTCATATACATATTTCATTTGCAGATGTGGAATATTTATTAATATTCTCTACCCAGTTACTATAACATATCAATACTATTATGCCTGCTTCGGAAAGTCCTAGAGGAAGATGATTTGCAATTTCGACTAGGCTATATCTTGAGCA